AATTTTCGGATTAAGTGTACAGGAATTACTGCAGAACACGTAAAAATTTCAAGACAATAAAACCATCGCAAGCCTGTGTAAATAGCAAAATGTATTAATACAAAATGCATTATTAACAAATTCTAAGAACCTATGAGCTTAAGTTAAGAAGAATATTCTATAATACGTCAACTACACTACTACAATGTCCAGTGCTGACAAGGCATTTCGCCTAGTACAGGCACAGTAGTGGTCTAGGCGCTATATTTCAATGAACAACTTTTAAAGTGTTAAACTTAGATTAAGCAAAATAATTGTAGTTATTATTATTTTTATTTCAAGCAATTTACAAACTAGATTCATGTGCATTATTAAAAAAAATCTATCAGCTACTGCAAGCTTTATTTCTGAATGATCGTGGTTTTAAGAAAAAAACAAAAACTGTTAATTAATACATCTGAAAACAGTGAGATATCATGAATAAAGCTCATGATGCTAGAATTTGTTTGCTTGAAGTTATGCACAAAGATGTTAGAAAAACACGTAGGTTCAAGAAGTCTTAATAGAAATGAATTAAAAACTTCTATAACCCGAAGTGCAAACTGGGAGTAAAGCTCTATATTCAATGATAAAATAATAATTTGCGTGACAAAACCACCAATTCTTGACTGTAGTCTTATAATTATGGTGAATATTTAAAGAAATAGTAAACTTTACCTGGAATAGTTAAAGGAGCAGTGAACTGGTCTGAGCCATGATTATTTCTAACGATGCATGTATAATTTCCAATATCATCTTCTCCAACAGTAATCACTTCCAACAAGGAGTAATCCTCAAACATTTTAATGGTCACTTTAGGAACCTGTATCATTGGATGTCCATTCTTCAGCCACTGAAAGTGCAAAGGTCGCTCTCCCTCTATAAGTGCACAAATTGCCTTAACAGTTTGGCCCTCATTCAACGTTTTTGGGAAAATAAAGGGTTGAAGTTTTGGTACACCTTTGAGAAAGTATATACATATAATTAATTCTATAATACTAATTAATAAGTATGAAAAATATTGAATAACTCTGCCAGTGAAACTAGAGACAAAATACAAAAACATTATCATCTAAAGTTTCTTGGGTAACCTATATAATATTGTTGTTTTCCGAATTTGAGTTTGATTTTTACTTGAGTTAAGTTAATAAACCAAGCAAAACGTCAAATAATTGGTTAGATTTGGTTCTAATTATATTTCTTACATTAACCATTTAGTTGTTTAAACATAATTTACTCTTGCATTTCATAATACAAGTCTAACATGTATGTACTAAACGAACCACTAAAAAATGTACCTTACCTGTTCCATACACACGTTCTAATAACAATAAACACAGGATACAAAACACTGTCACTTCCATTCTATTGCAGATCCCAGGAACTCGAGAAAACAGCGCGTGGGTCATGATTTTCCCGCCAAGTTACACGATATTTTTCCGTCCAAAGTTTTACGGCCAGCTGTGACTAAGCTAAAACATACACGCAGACACTGAATGAGATAAACTTATGGCGGTCGAATTTATCAGCAAGGTTTTAGCCATGTGCTAAATAATATTCGATGTACATGTGTATGAAATTGGTGTTGTAATCTACAAATCTCGAGGTTCATAACGTAGCGTAATTCCACAATTAATCAAAGAAGGCAACTACATACTAGTAAGAGAATAGTGTTTCAATCCGCCATCAATCTTTATGTCGGAACAGCAGCGCCACTGCAGATAGATCTGGACTGTAAAAACACTCACAAGGGAGATGTGTGGTGTAATGTCAATATGGTTCTTATGTATGTTTAGTTATGTCCATAAACAAATGTGTCATATACTTTTTCAAATTATGATATCACGTTCATGTAACAACTTTTGTGAATTAAGTTATCACTTATATGTTCGATTCAAAGAAAAGAATTGCAAACTATGAATGGTTATGTTTTCAAGACACATAAACACACATATATCTGTATATATGTGTTTGTATGTATGAGTGTATGTATATATATATGTACACACACACACACACAATATTTTTCGTAAAACACTCACCAAGGATTAGGAATATCACCTTACTACCTCCCCTTCATCAAATATGGTCTGAATATGTAATATATATACATTACCAAACATATGCATATACCTTTATGACATTTGAAAATAGCCACAATGATGAAAAAATAGTACGTTTGTAGCTTCTTTAATAAACCATGTTTGTACGAATGTATAGATTACAAAAGTCATACAGTTCAATTTTCGCTGCTTTATATGCTGAAGAGTTACATTTTTTTGGTCTACATGAAAGTACGGACGATACGTTGTAATAAGAAAAAGGAGAAACTCGTATTTTCACCTCTTACAGTTAGTAGTACACTTTTATTTATGTCTGCTGCGACTCCGGTCGATGCCTCACAACTATAGTAACCTGCATCTTCCGACAGAACACTGTCGATGACGAGAGCGCCATCTTTATCCATTTTGACTCTACCTGTCTCTGGTAACGTCACAAAGCCACCATCTACCCCGCCCCCTGAAATCCAAAATGTAAACTGTGACAGGAAAAATACTTTTTTAGAAAGTACTACTGTATTAACACGAGTCATTTTACACATATGCACACATCTATGCATATAAATATATACATATACATGTATAACATCTTTATAAATATTATATATTGATATGTTCTAAGTGAAAATTCCTCCCATTACACAAGATAGAAAGATATAAATAATAATAATTCGAGAAAATTCTCTCAAACATAGTTGTCTATTGTGTTTTAACTAGTTGTTTTGAATTAATTTAATAATAATATATAAGAATTTGAAACAAAATTTTCTACATGAAAATAGAAGAATTTTTTATAAGGTCATTTATGAAGATATATGTGTATAAGTATAATAAAGGACGATATTAATAATTAAAGAAATGAGTTAAGTAATTACATAAAATATTATAAAATGGAAATTCAATATAAAAGAAAATTCATCAGTTACCAGGTAGTAAAATCTGAGTAATGGTAGTAATGATGTAAAGTAACATTAGATTTCTTTCAGTAATACACATACTATCGACTCATTCGATCTACCTAAGATTCTTTTCCAACGTATTTCTGGTTTTGGATATCCTGAAGCCGAACATCTGATGAAAGCTCTTCCCCCAATGCCAACGGTAATGTCTTGAGGTTCATGTATCCAACGAGGTGAACCTTGAAGTGTATAAAAGAAAAGCAGTTAGTTAATATAATGAAATTCTTCTCTTTAGTTTTACATTATCAAATGGGGTTATTTCGATTTCTATTTCTATTTACGATCCTGATTAAATAGATAAAGCATTAACGGATATCTCCTAACGGATTTTGAGTATACGACAGACAAGCGAAATTTTAACACCTCAGAAATTTTTCAAGTTACATTTGTGTTATTTATATTTACCTAAATATTGTGGTAAAACCAACAGTAGTAATCGTTAATTAACGACCAATAATGGGTAGAAATTGGCAAGTCGTTTGGAAATTGCTTTCCTTCGAGAAAATATTAAAAACAACATCTATTTTTGTAACTAAAATGTTTGTTGAATCAATTACAAAGCATTGTAATGTGCGCAGTATTAACTGGTATTAAATTAGATAAAATAGTTTTGGTGCTGACAAAGCAACTAATGGCCAGAGAATTATCTGAATAAAAAATTATAAGAAATAAAGCAGAAAGGTCTATTAAAGATCTACACGATAGAACAAAAACAAATTCTTCAATAATTTACTTTTACTGTTGATGACTGAAAATATCACCGTAGAATTATAAAAACTATTGGACAAAAAAACACTAGCTAAAAACGCGTGAATATGTAGTCCAAGATAACAAATATTCAAAAGTGGTAGAACAGTGTTACCTCGAACTTTGAGTTCTGACGAAAAACTATCCGTCCCCGCTGGGTTAGTTGCTATACAAGTGTAGTTTCCTATGTGTTTCGTATTCACATTATTTATAATAAAAACTGACAGCCTTCCAATGGTGTGAATTGTCCATTGTTCTTTTGATTGAAGGACCTTCCCGTTCTTAAACCAGCTGAACTCGATCGGATCATCACCTTCTTCTATACCACAGGTAATTTGTATTGTTTTTCCTTCTTCTATTATTTGGGGTAAGGAAAATGGCTGAATTTTGACAGGCACTAAAACAAGAAGTAGAATGGTTTGTTTAAAAAGCTTCTCATCTAGTTTATGGGTAATGAACTGAAGATAAGGTACTAGCAGTATGAATTTAATTTCACAAAAAAATCTAGTGAAGATATAAAAATTGAACTTTATGAACCAAAGTTGAATTATTTTATGCTCAACAAGAATATTCGACCCATGTAAGCGAGCTGAAATAAGAGTTTTGTTGAAACAGTGATGAGAAACGGCATGTATTTGATCCGACTTTTTTTACATTATGTTATTATTTTTTATTATTAATTCTTAATAGTTGTATTCAAAAGGTAAACATATTTATATACATGCATCAAATTTCTTGTAACTTATGTATAAGAAAATAGATATGTTGTAAACCCAATAAAAGTTTAAAATTAAATAGTAATTATAAATAGAAAAACGAAATAAACCGTTTTAACTTAATTTTTATTCTAAAAGGAAATATTTGCTTAACAGTATGTTTTTACAAGTCAGATAATTATACACATAAACCCAAACACAATAACAAACACATTATCAACACTTAGTGACTAATAGATACTTACCTAACGCCGTAGGTGACCAGTACGTTGAAATGAGTGAT